AAAAAAAAATATAAACGATATAACCTAGACAGAAATCACTTTAATTATAACCAACAATGTAAATTAACTAAGGTTAACAAAATGCAACTAAATCTTGACAACAACTAAACTTTGACAATAATAACTTTGAATAATAAAATACAACGATTGTGCAACGATGTGAACGTCCGTCCGTCCCGACTGTCGCAAGCAAAAGAGAGCGATGCCTTGCGCTAACGCGCCTCGAGCCCAAACGCACCCCTCCAACAACATCTCGCCACGCGCCCTCCCGACATCACACCATCCTTGACGTCACTTAGGCCACGCCTCCAATGTCATCATCATCTTCTAACACGGCCTCTCCTGACGGCGGAGCGTCCTCGCCCGCATTAATAGGTCCGTCTAGAGGTACTATGTCGTCATGGTGGTGTGATGAACCGGCGACAATACCTTCCTCAGAGCTATTCTCATCACCTATAAAATAGATTGTTTGCATTAAAAATGACACACAGAAATGCAATATTATGTTGCTGACCGTTGGGAAGTTGTTGTTCAGTGACAATTTCCGTAGCATGTCTTCACAAATTCTTCCAGTGGCAGAGCCCTCAGGTTGCCCGAGACAGTGACCGCAGTATATCTCAAAATAAGTTAATGTCTTATTGTATACAGTGGCAGAGCCCTCAGGTTGCCCGAGACAGTGACCGCAGTATATCTCATAATAAGCTAATGTATACAGTGGCAGAGCCCTCAGGTTGCCCGAGACAGTGACCGCAGTATATCTCATAATAAGCTAATGTATACAGTGGCAGAGCCCTCAGGTTGCCCGAGACAGTGACCGCAGTATATCTCAAAATAAAACAGTTGTCAGAGCCCTGACCACAGCGAGTGTCTCCAGCTCATAGGAGTGATAGCGTGGTTCGGCGCCTTGGGTAACTTTACTAAAATATCCCACCACGCGTTTATTATTATTCCCATGAGTCTGAAGTAAAACAGCTCCATACCCTCGAGAAGAAGCATCAGTGTGTACTTCTGTTAATAATGATGGATTAAATATATTGAGGACAGGTTCACT